CAGCTTCAGCCCAGAACACAGCGTGCACCTCCTGTTGCTGGGCCTGGAGAATCTCTGGCAGGATGATGGGCTTCAGGGTGTTTCGGCTTCCTGACTAGGAGGACACAGAGTGGGTTATGAACACAAACTGAAAAACAAGACATTTTAATGCCATGATGAGCTATTGCCATTTTGAAATACGGAATAGGGGCCTCTGGCTAACAATACTGCAGGACCAAAACTGAGTTTAGATCATTCACAATGTGCCAAAGTATTGAGGCACTTATGATACTGAGTTTTTGTTGTTTTAGAGCAGTGTTGATTCGCCTTTGTGATCATTTTGGAGGCTAGAGTTCGTGTGTATCCCCAATGCCTTTTTTATCAATGCGGGTAGGCTAAATAAGAAAAAATAATAATATATTTATAATAATAATAATAATAATAGTGATTCTTGATAATGATCATGAAGTTGTTGCAACATCGCTGTCAAACAAGTGAATTACACCCGATATGAAGGCATGATTTAATGCAAAACTTCTGTTTTGCATACTTCACACACACACTTTCACTTTTTACCCATTCTAAGTAGAGTTTGGTTTCCACGCAAGGCACCATGCTGATAGAACTCAGTAGGAGTTCATAGACGTGAAGGAGGACCTCCAAGTACAATTTGAGTTCGGGCTCAAACTTGATCTCCCTGTCCTCCAGGGTCAGATGCAGCACAAAGCCTGACTGCTAAGATGGTGGAAGTCAAAGCAAAACAAGGCAGACAAAGAGGGAAACTGTTAGGGTCCACTTGTACGTCTCAGTCAAAATCTAGACAATATTTTAATGACATGATAACGTATTCCAGTTGGACTCTTCTGAGGTGATGTGGGCTTTTTAAGCATTCTCCTACCGGGCCTTGGGAGAGTAGGTGTGTATAGTCCGTCATTGAGTTTAATGCGAGGCTCTGCAGCTGGGAGGTCATCAGTGCAGCGACACAGTTAAAGAAAGCAGGCAGTTTGGCCTTGTGTTGTGAGGCAGGAACCAGCCCGGACCGGCACCCCTGATAGTAAATGTCGTGCACTCTGGGAACCCAACTGGTGTAGAAAGAAGCACATGGAAGATTTTATGCAAAAAATGTCAAATAATAAAATAGTAATAATACCAAAGGGGAAACCGAGGCAAAGGACCAAATGCGTGGCTTCATGCTGTCTCTTTGCTGATCCAAGACCATTCCTCTTTCACCTTAATGGAAGCAAAGCCAGCCAAACACTTGCCAGAAAGGCAACAATGTCCTCGGACCCCTGAACTACCCACAGAGGTCTACGCACCTTATTATGCTCAAATTCTAGTTCACTTTTGGAAGGTGAAGGGAGCTTCAATTCATCTTCCGAATGGCAATTGAAAACGGGTGTGCCTAAGCACGGGTTTTTGGTTATGAGGACTCACTTTTTGAGGAGGATTCCTTTGGCGTTTTCAACATGGCTGGTGACAATTTGCTGAAACACATGGAGCTCCATGGACTCCTTCATGCTGTGGAACTCCTCTACATCTATCAGACGTAGATTCCTGCAAATAGGTCATCCAACAAGGTGAAACAATAGGCAAACAGAGATACCACCGTGATTGTAATGTATTTTCATGGGATATGGACATGGGATAATGTAGAATTCAGAAAATGGCGGACAATTTTTAGATGGGTGTCCACGCTGCGGCGGTACTTTTGTACAAAAACTGGTAAATACTGTCAACGGAAATTGTAGAAACCAGAAAACACAGTTTCTCATGCAAACAGGAGATTCACACCCATTGCTTTTTAATTAAGTATTTAAAAATAAAAGGCTAATTTGGCTTTGAGCTGTTGAGTGAGTTTGATCAACTAATTTCAGTTTCATTCTAAATAGTTCAGAACCCAAAATGATATCATTGCATACTTACTTGTAAAAGACATGCCACACGTCGAGCACCTGCTGCATTAGGGGGTTGAAAGAGTGCAGACTATCTTTCATCCTCTTTCCTGCACGAACATAGGCTTTGTTCCATGGTTTGGGCAATACCTCCATTCTGACAGTGACAGATAATAGGAGAACAGACTTAACAGACTCATTTCCTCCAGCAAATTATATGAATCACAATGCAAAAGCCATCCAGTCACTACTTAGAAAAGGCTGAATTTCTGTGTTACACTTCTCACAAGGTACAAACGCAACATTCTCCGACATATCCTGCTGACTTACTCAAGCCTGTGAGAGGGACGTTTTTTTGTTTTGTCCTCGTCCTTTCTTGAGTCTCTGAATGTATATTTCACTGCAATCAAAAACCAAAGATATTGGTAGAAGAATAAGTTAACCAGTTGTGTAGTTATCCAGTCTTGAATCATTTTTAGTAAGAGTTGATGAAAGTTTAAATGGAAATAAATACAGATTGCTGCCTTGACGCAGAGCAGATAGTCTTCGTTAATCTCAGTGACCAGTCGCTCAAACGGTGTGCTCTGGCTCGTCAGGTGGTTGGATACCATTTCCTGAATGTTCTTCAGCAAAGAGTCCCCCAGCGGAGCCACATTCTCCAGGTCAATCCCTTTCTGGATGTAGTAATTATATCTCTGGCAAGATAGAATTTTACAAACCATTGTGTGACTTTTCTGGTGACGGGGTGATCACTGGATAAAGAGAAAGCTAATTGGTGTGGAGCATATGATTAATATTACGTGCAGAACATTTACTATTGGAGGGGCTTTAAATATTCCTATTCCACTAGCCAACACCAACTTCATTTGAGTTCACTCATTTAAAAAAAAAAAGAAATATATAAAAAGATAAGTAAAAACAATCTCTATAGATGCATAAGCACAAGTTATACCACTATATCAGATATGTCTTACACACGACAAAGACTACACTGAGAAAGTATAATACTTAGCAAGTGTAACCACTGAGAGCGACAAAACAAAACAGTGACTAGAAGGCAACATGCCAAGTGCCTGGAAAGGATTTTGTAAAGGGTGATGGGCACAACACCTTCATTATGGACACTTAGACAACAAAAAGGGGCTTGTGATATTTGGCATCAAAGGTTTCTTGCTTTTCACCATTTCACGATTATTCTTTTCTGAAGATTTATAAGAACCACGTGGTGGGGAGTTGCCAAACTCCTCTTCCCCCTCCTCCACCTCCTCTTCCTCTTGCTGGCTAAAAAGAATTGTGAAATGTGAGTCACAACAATTGGCTCTACATGTTATACAGGAGTGGGATTGTTTAAAGTACTAAATTGTCTATTCATGTCCTTCATGTGATCCAAACCAAAGGAACATCTAAGATATGATTACATGCATAAAAGGAATTATCAGGAAGGTTAAGGTCAATAAAAACAAATACCCCCACTCACCATATGAATTTCACCAGAGTTCCCCGGAGATTCTTGCGCTTTCTATACATTTGTGTGAGGCTTCTGCTGCCATGCTTGGACGGCCTGTGGATCGGCCCTGCGTTGCTGCTGTGGAGCATTTTCCGGCGTCGACCATAACTCTGAATTAGTCCGCCGTCCGCCCCGTCAGTCGGGTGATCTTCTGCAGCACACACAGTTCAATCAGAAATAATACAGTCCTTAAAAATCCAACAGTAGCTGGAATGACCTAATCCGAATTCTAGTCTAATGCTCGAGGTGGCGTGAAGTCAAAATGTTTTAACAAAGTTAACTAAAAAGTATTACCAACTCCAAACTTGCACCATTGAACTCACTATTCACAGCTGTTTCGGTCCCTAGAGGGGTCTTCTGGAGGGGGGGAAACAGCAAAAAGGAAGGTTTGGCGTCCATCCAGGGCTGCTTTCTGTAAACCTGGAACACGAGTGCAGACTAGGTTTGTGTTTGACGTTTAACATTAGTTACAATCCAATTAGTGTCTAACGTTATAAGACATTGAGCTTTTTTGTAATGATATTGCAGCGTTAAGTGTCTACATTTAACAATACAATAACTGATAAAGATGTTAGCTCGGTGTCATGTTCAGTTAAGCTAACGTTAAGTTAACTAAACCCCCATGGCAGATGCGGTTTTTTCCGCGTTAAGAAATTGATATAACGTTACTTTTTTTCCAACCTCACATAATGGTTTCTAAACTTACCGGCGGTGAGTTTGGTGGCAAGAAGCTATCAGTGGTATTTTTTTTCCTCTTGGCGGAATTCATGTTAGTTATCATAAGCTAACGATAACGTTAGCTATTTAACTGACGTTCAGCCAGTGTGACGTTGCTAAGGCCGTTGCTATGGCAGCAACGGTGCACTCGCGCGAAGCTTTAGCTCCACCCATAGGCAACGGGCACGAGCAGGAGTTACGTTGCAGATTTCTACGTTAACTGTGCTTGTTAATCAAAACCTTTATACTTTGTTTTCTTTCTTTGCTGGTATTCTACAAGACAGCGTACCGTTTACTTGTTTTAATTAAATCATTTGTGTGGTGATTTGGGTAACAGTGATTACTTGCTAATAATACTAATCCAAACTGACTTGTATTTTTAAGATACTTTTTGAGTTTTGCCCATGTTTTATCTACTTCCCTTAGCGTGTTTTCTCTAGAATACCTCCAGTCTCAACTTCACATTCCCAGCGGTCCTGGCAACAAGTGATTCACGCCATGTCTCCCCGCGGTCACGCGCCGTAAGCGCGCGCAGGGCAGCCCCACCTCCTTGCAGTCAATGCGGGCACGCAGCACGCGCGAAGCAGTGCGTTCGCTCCGATCCGGTCTAACACACAGAATATCTTTGTACCTCAAGTTATGATCACACATTATAATCTCCACCGCTTTTTGCTTGAATTCTTAAGAGTAGTATACAGCGAATTTTTGATGGAATTGTCCAAGACAAGATTCCATGGTTATTCTTTTTGCGGTTTTGCCAGATGTCCCAGAGTATTCCGTGTTACACATCTGGAAGGAGTGGGTTGCCATGGGTACACTAGAGTGTATGTAATGAAACTCACATCACATTCACACTTATGGAGAGCCTCTTGAATTACACCACAACACCAGAAAAAAAAACCCAATACACTTCTTAAAGATGTTTATTTGCTATTAAAATAGTAGCTGAATAAACAGTCAGTGTTAAAAGAATGAAAAAATATAAAACAGATCCTGAACACTTTTCCTAAAGTCTCCAGCTACATAATAATTTAAATGGATAAACAACAGCAACATCATGAGAATAGATGATCACCTCAAGTCGGGACAGGCAAGATATACAAAATGTATTGTAATTGGTGTAACTAATTTAAGGGTAATTTCTTTCTTAATGAATTATCATCTATTTTTAAATTAAATTCAAAATAAAGCTGCAAGTACTCTTGTTTTAAGTGTCTCTGCAAGTGTAACAGTACTTTAAAATATAACAAATATTGAAATTCAGTAGAACTGCAGAGCTGCCTCACACACAAAACTCCAGTTGCATTTTGCTTCTTCCACCTGTGAATATACCGTGTAACGCGCATTACCCTCCCTCAATGTGCAATGACTCTCCAAAATTGTTGCAGCAAAACACCCTTCCATTTTCTATATACTTCTCCTCCTATAACATATTACATAAAACATCAATGAAAATATTCACACTTACAATAAAAAAGGATTACTTTGGCTCAGATCAACAACAAAAAATATCCAAATTATCCAAATGAAAAAATGATCTTGTTTCTTAATGAATACTAACATGTTTTGGTGCGTTAAATTATATTTACACACGATGAAGGGGAAAGGATGAATGGAAAGTAGCCCCATAAGTCAGGAACATTGTTTTCTGCTTATCAATCCAAATAAGCAACAATAAACTGAATTGTAGTCCTGCTAGTGATACAATTATCTGGGATAACAAAGCATGTTTAAAGGTTGTTTATTCAGTACTCAGATTTTTAATCATAGTTGATATTTGTATGCAGAATTAGACACACTAAACTCCAAGTTAAGTACTAATATATAGCGTATAGCCTTTGAAAAAAAAAAGAAAAATTAAATCGATATATATACACATGATGACAAGGAAGAACAAAGGAGTGTGCTAGCTCCCAACATATACTAGGCATACTTAAGGCCGCGCAGGAGGAGGAGCTTCTTTTAATGCTGCATACAGGAATCGTGCAGCTCTACTCGCTAGCTGTGTTTCTTCAGCCCAGGCAGTGTGAGCTCATACCTTAACGAAAGAGAAATTCAATATAAAATATTGGTACTTCAATTCAGAATACTTCTATTTCGCAGAAGTATTCTAGAGAATTCAACCAAATCATGGAACAGTAGAAAAATAATCACCATACCAATTTGTGACGCCTTTCACTAAATCCAACTGGGAAAGCTCAATCATCACCTGTTGAGAGGAGCACAAAAAGTCTCAGCTAGACTGAGAGGCAAAAGTGGGAAAACCAGAGTAGCAAACGCACTATTTTTGCAATAGACTGTACGTTTGAAAAGAAAACATTTCAAACACTGAACCACACTACTCTCAGAGAAATAGTGAGACAAAATAGTTCTGTTCTATTCTAAATGATATTCTCGTTATGTGTGATTGTGATGTGATTTAATAACAAATGGAGAAAAAAAGGCTATTGTGACTATAGAAAATGAGACTATAGAACATGATCCAAACAATAACAATTTAAGTACATTAGAAATAATCACAAATGAAAAAAACAAACGATTCCAAAACTTAAATTATCCCCCCCACCTCCTCTCAGGCCTTCGGTACAATAATGAGCCCAAATTAAAAATGAATTAGCTTTAAATTTGTCTCATTAATGAGAACTTCAAACAGCATTCAGCATTTCTACTGCCACAGACTTTGAAATATTGCGTAAGGAAAATCACAGAAGCACTACCCACCATGCCGATGTCCTTTCTCTCCCGCGAGTGGAACATTTTTCCATTTTTCACAGACACATCCAACTTCCTGTTTTGTGCTTCTTCAAGTGACACGTCAAATTCAAACCTGTGATGAAATAGGGTTTGGAGAAAGTCTCAACCTGTGAGCTTTAAAGACACAGCAACTACTTCAGCTAATAAGAAATGCAGAAAACACTTTTTTTTGTCACATAGATCATGTGATACGGAATAAGTCCAGTGGCCTTACTTGTGATCGAAGAAAGGATTGACCGTCCTCTTCTTGACATGTGTCCTCTTGCGGTGTATCCAGGATTGGTCGGGGAGAAAATACAGGCGGACATAAGAGTCTGTGCCGTTGTCACCGAAGCGGAATATATCCCTGCAGGCAACAGGTACAACACAGATTCAAATACCTGGTCAGACAGATGTAGTTGAACAAAAAGAAAATCATAGGTATTTTCAGCACATGACATTTCAGTTCATGTCCTTCTGAGGACTGAAAAGTATTTCCTGAAAGTTTTTTATGTTATCACACAAAAACTGGAATTGGATTTTCTGTGTTCTGAGAACTAAAACGTGTTCAGAGCTGAGCTGAGGAAATCGGTATGTCCCTGGTGGGTGCGACTGGGTTTCACTAGCGAGGCTGGATTTTCCTTCCGTACCTGCAAGAGTTAACCACGACGATGAGTTTGTTCCTCAGGCTGGCGTAGCGTACGGTCAGCTGGATCTCCCCAAATGAACCCTGATGTTGGCGAATGACTCTGAGGGGATAGAACACACTTCTATTGTCACGTGTGTTACTTAATTCTAGCCAAATTCCATGTAGATGAGTTCATCGCACCAGCAGAGAGCTTAAAAGTCAGAGCAATAAACATCTGAGCCAAAGACTCACTCTGGATACGAGGCGCCCTCCGAAAGGTCGAAACGGGACGAAGCGATGGAGTTCTCTGACAGCAGGCTGTGGGAGTCGTACCGACGCATGTTCGATAGGGAAGAAGTTGACCGCCAGGTTTGAAAGCCATCCTTGTTGTCAGCCAGGGACGGCGCAGGCGAGCTGTGGCCAGCGGGGCCGGCGTTTGGGGAAAGTGCTGGAGAGGAGGATGCGTTGGCGGAGGGAGCGGATACGGGAACGTCGCTCCCTTGGTTGGTCTGCGGCCTTTGCTGTTTGTCTTGTGGAGGAGGCTTGACGATAATCTTGGGTGGAGGCTTTTCCAAGTTAAGGACCTTTTGGGGGATTAAGGAATTGGCCAAGTCACTTACACAATATAAAACCATCAGTGCAATAAAAGTTCACTTGCAAGTTGAGAATCTAACCGTTGGTTGTGGTGCAATGTTGTGGTATATGAGACTTCATCTTTGGACTCAATGTGTGTTTACATGTCAAGTGTGTGTGTGTGTGTGTGTGTGTGTGTTCGCCAACATGTCTACGCACCCTGAGTGTGGCTTTCAGCTTGATCTGGCTGTTCACGCCGGAGCGCTCCAGCTGGAAGCGCTGGTCTAGAGTCATGTCCGAGGTGTCGAGGAGGCGACTCAGCGGAATGTTGAGAACACCGAGCGCAGGCTTCTTCTCGTTCGCTTTGACCTGGAACACAGGAAATGAAACAATTATCAAAGCAGCCAACGGAAAAGGTTTTAGACCTACGAATGACTGATTGAAAAAAGGTCTATTTTAAAGACAACAACATCACTGTTGGTGTTCCGTCTTTTAGGTTATATTAAGAGGAAATTACAGGCATTCAATAGACAAATAGCCATTCGTATTCATCCCTATCTCGAGGGTGCGATCACTATTGTTAAAAATTGGTGGTGTGCGCACCAGTAAATGACAAACCTGAACCGTGAGCTGCTGTGTCTTGACATTATGGACAAAGAAGGTGAAGCCCTGTTCCCACACTGGGTCTTTGGATGCATATATAACCTGCGGAGAGAGAAGACAGTGACAAGTAATAAATACAACCAAAGGATTTAATTGCAAAAGCGTATGGAGTATTTGAATTAAAACTTTTGCATCCACCTTGTTTAACACATCAACAACAAAACAAGCCCTAAAGACATTTAACATATCTTATTCATGTTAGGACTTAAAAAGTAAAGCGTGTATTAACGTGATAATAAGTAAGAACAGTACCTTGCTTTTCTTTACATCTTTATCGATGGAAAACTCCACAAAGGAGTCTGGGCAGGTCGTTCTCTTTTTAGTGAGCTGAAAGTACATAAGTGAGCCAGAACAGTTTGTTTGTTATCACACACAGTGTGGAAATAACACCATCACAGAACACCTGTGGACGAATAGGGAACGTTTATCGGCGACTGTACCAATGGCGTGGGAGACGATTTTCAACTATTTATTTGTGACTAATTGATACTTGATATCTCAACTGCCTTCAGTAAATGTTTCCCATGAACTTGTTGTTTCACGTACGACAATAGGACACCAGCAACAAGCTAACAACGGGATTTAAAGTCTGCTTTTCACTTATTAAAATAGGCAGTCAGATAGCAAACTAACATTGGGTGTTATAGTTTGCCTTCACTTATTGCAAAAAGCTGTGTTTCAACAAAGTCTGTTTTCTTCCAGGCTAGTCAGCTTGTGCCTCCCATTCCCTGATACATTGCAGACACATCTGGGACACGTAAAAATGAACTTTTATGACCACTGGAGAAGACTTTGAATGCTTTGAATAGCAGTGACAGCTAGCGTGCTAGCATGAGGCTACAAACAAGGCCGAGAACATTCCAGGGGAAAAGAAAAATGCAGACCACAACATGTTGGCTGACACTGTGTACTTTAAAAAAGGAAATACATATTTTAACGTGGAAATGTGGACAGATGGAACGGTGTTAGGAAAACCAAACATCCTTTAGACAATGCCGTCTTTGCAGTTGGCTGTGACGTAATATAGCTCAGGGAAATGACATTGAGAATACTGCCTCTCACACTTCACATAAAGTATTTTCAGTCAATGACCAGCAGAGGGCGTTCAGAGGAAAGGAATTAGGAACGACAGTTTAAGGTAACAAGAGCTTGTACAGAGACAGACTTGTTTAACAGGGCTGGGTCAACAGGTTTCCTCAAATAGTTCTTACAGTTTGATTAGGATTGCCTTCATTACCATACAGACATAGAACATTGAAAAAGTTTAAGGTTGAAACTTTGTTCAAGAAAAGTAAAGTAATCTGTGACCATATAACCGTTTGTCCTACCTAAAAATATTAAAATCCTTGAAAAAAAAAAAAAGAGTCTATAAACGCATTACGGAGTGCAAACTAGTATAGATATAGTGGTTGTTAATACTCACTAAGTGATCAACAAATCATCATGTTTCCTGATGCTGGAAACCGGAATAACTCAAAGCCACTTGAACACTACCTGGTAACACCCACATGAACCAGAAGGCATGCAGCAGACAAACAGGAAATACGAGCTACGCACAGGGACAAGTACGCGGAGGCTTTCATCTTACATCAAGATACAAAAAGAACAATCGCACTGTAAGGCACTATAGGGACTCGTTACAGCCCTTCGGGGACCGCTCACCCCAACAGCACATATGTATTGTCCTACCTGTGTTGCCATTTATCAATTTAGATTGTTTTGGTGTGAGTTGCTTAGTGTCGGTGTCGAGATATCTGTTTTCATACCAATATGATCGGAATGTGTGCCACATGATTTATATCCATGTAAGAACAAGTACAGGATTTAAGACCATTTGAGTCTACTTGCAATGATAACGCTGTTGTTCGAGAATTAATTCATTAAAAATGACCAACCTTTAAAAACGATTTTAACAGAAATGCAATTATGACCAGTGGTGGACTGGATGAAAAGTTCATGTTTACAAACTAATTATGTCTAGTTCATGACTTTTTAAGTATGCTGTTCTTTAGAGGTGAACATTCTCAAAAAAGAAAAGAAAACAACTGTCAACCTGCCAATTATTGGCAGAGATTAGATCAGGTTTCTCGCTTACCCGAGCTTCCTTTGCATGCTTTCCGTGTTTCTGTTGCTCGGTGATCTCATTTTGATCTTTCTGGAAACAGAGCACAAGCACGCATATGAGCACATTTGTATCTCCATGTCACATCGTCCCCTCTCAACAAAAACAAGTCCCCAGTAGAAGCTACTTACTGGTAGGTTGGAGGCATTGTCCAGATAGACTGCAAGCATAGCACAAGCAAAGCCGTCTTCAGACTGGAAGAGAGCAATACTCGACTTACACCAGAGAAATATGTAGTTCTTCACTTCATTTTGGGGTGAACTGTAACTTCAAGATTAACATGTAGAAGTTTGGATGGGAGAAATGGAAGCAACGATGATGGTACCTCTCTCAGCAGGCTGGGGTCCGACTTGAGCGAAAACCACTGGAGCTTGAGACGGACCTCTCCATTCTGGACCTTTTCCAGAGTAAACCACTGCAGCAGCACGGAGATTCATTTATCAATATGACATTAATATCAAGACAATGCTAATGATTAGAAAGGCATTAGCATTTTAAGGTTTCTTTACATTCTTGTTAATGCTGCTTCTGCAAATTCTCCAGCTATCCTTTAAAAAAATATTTTTTATTTATTTATATATATATATATATATATATACATATATATATACGCCCATTGCAAAGAAAAAATTAGCTTGTTTGGCACACAAATATAGCATTCCATATATCCACAATATTAATTAAAAGCTCACCTCATCGATCTCTAGTTCCTTCTTCACTTTTCCTAAATCAAGATGATACCTAAGGGGAAAATAAAAAAGGCGTGTTTGTGTATTGGAACATTTAAATTTAAAGCAACCATACTCAGAGTTTACTGCTGTGTATGTCAACAGTCATTCTTAAAAGTTTCTATATTGGAGAAGCTATCTATATAATAACGCAAATACAATACGTGAGATTCAGGCGGAACTCATTTGAAAGTTTCTTACGATCCAAGAAAGTCGTCCTTATCCGTGTCATCGTCCCACAGTTCCACCTCCAGCTCTTGCCCCGGGGCTTCATGGACCACGAACTGCACACAGATAACGGAGAGGTGAACGTGGAAAGTCAGTGTGAACATCAGATTCCATTTTCTAGAGAATTTATAGGAAAAGGCGGCAGCAGACTACACACGGAACAGGGACATAAGGTGATGCACGTGGAAATGCAAATGTGTGGGAAAAAAGGAAGTACGAGCATCCTGATATGTCCTACATCCAAGTCCTCCCTTCAGAGATCCATAAAGGAAAGTCTATTATTTTTAACACACGTCAGCTGCAGAGTCGAGGGGCCTGCTGCAGCCAAAGAACGGTGGGGAAATAACAAGTGCCGTTAACGCTGCGTGACATGAGGGGGAGACTGTTGATGAAATCAATTGTTGATGTTACACCGGACTCCTACGACTGGTCTGGAAAACTCAAGAGAGAAAATCCACAAGAAGATTTGTGAGCGTATCACTTAAGGAACTACTTGTTGAATAAGCTATATTATACCATGGAAAACTACGGTAAGCATGAAAATGAGAGAAATGTATGCTGGTGGGACATTATTCCGTGGCCCGTGTTGCCCTACCTCATACACTTCGTTCCACTTAGGGTGCAGATTTTCTTTGACGATCTTGCTTTTGAAATGGCGGTTGCCCACTCGGAGTGTGGCGTAGGGGTCCGATTTGCCTTTCACCAAGCCCAACATATATGTGTCCATTGCCAACAGGTCCCTGGCCTCCAGCAGGTGGACCCTCACCACACCCTGAGGAGCACACGAGGAGAGATGCAAACCGACAACAGTCTCACATGAAAGGGAAGAAAAAAAAATCACATCTGAATATTAAACACTTTGTGACCTGCATTCGCCGTAAAAACATCCGAAGTGTATCGTTTTTTTATTTTTGGAAGGGGCACTTTTATCGCAGGTGGTCGCAGCAGATCAGTTGAAGATTGACCTGTGAAACGAAAAGTATTATCTCACATACTCGAGGGAGCGGGAACCTCATCTGGTCCACCTTGACCTGGTCGATGAGGGGCACACACATGCGGTTGGGCAACACCATGAGCGAGGCGATGATGTCCATGATGGTGTTCTCCGACAGCGAGCTGGACGGGGCAGACGAGAGAACTTACTAAACCAAAATGCACTCCAATGAGAAAAGGACTCCCCGAGTCGGGCCCGTGGGTCTAACCTGAAGGCCGGGCTGTCCAAGAGGTTGGTCATGCCGGTCCAGTTGATTTCTAGGGACTGAAAGAAGAAAAAAAAACATTTCAGAGTTTTAGACTTGTATAATAATTCTTAGCTTAGTCAATGACATTTTGCTCATTAAGACGTCACTTACGGGGCGGCGAATGAAAAAAAACGTGACTCCTCCCACCAGTGGCACTTGGCCAATAAGAGGTTCCAAAATTACCCTCATTGTCCCCTGAAACTGGAACGGTCAAGAGAGGGGGGGGGGGGGAAAGAAGACATTTACCAAGACTAGTGAACACACGCGATGATGATACAAGTTATGCAGAGGTTACGGGGAAAACGCTCACTTTAAGTCCCTTGATGCCCGCCGTGATCGGCGGCTTCACTTCGGCGTCAATGTCCACGTCCCCCTCGTAACTGCAAGGAGAACAAGCGCTGGTGAGACCTAATGACGTGTATTCAACATCCAGCTTCCGTGTGAGAAATGTGTCTGACTGACCATATATCCAGATCCAGGATCACCTGCCTGTGATCCACTTCGTCCGTGAATACTTTCATTCCAGTGATCTTCAGAGGCTGCAATCAATGAGGAACACGTTAAGAGAGGATTGAATTGATTCTGGAGGGTTGAAATGGCTTGGACTAGTGTGTGTGTGTGTGTGTGTGTGTGTGTGTGTGTGTGTGTGTGTGTGTGTGTGGAGGACTCACTGTGTTTCCAAAGTGGACCTTTGTGAAAGAGAACATCTTGAGGGCAGGGCTGGAGAGCCGGATGGTTGGCTGGATGTTGTTCTTGAGGAGCTTCTCCATGTACATCCCAAAGAAAGGCCAGGCCTGCTGCAACACCTGAACATACAGAGCCACATTTAATCCCACACCTTAACCAAACAGCACGTACAATTCCACCCGCACTTGAATGCGCTCCAGTTGAATGTGCTCCAGTTGAATGTGCTCCAGTTGAATGCGCTCCAGTTTGCAGGAATGTGAAACACAGAGCTGGATTTTGGCTTAGTCATTTATGTATTTTAGTTCATTTATCTCCATCCAAGTGGAGCAACAACGCGTTTAACACGCCAACTAAAAGCACCAATGTGATTAAGCAGATATCATTAAAAAATGAAGAGAACTTTATCTTGACACTGTACCTTGTTTACCCAGTCAACTTTCTCAACCTCGGGAAAATGGACCTTTGAAAAGAACAAAAAATGATGGTGGTTAGAAGACGGTTTGTATCATGCATGATGGCGGGGATAGAAGAATTATCAACGACTCATCATGCAAATTTCAACATGGACCATTGAAAAATAAATCCTTGTTCATAGGACTGATTATAGTGACATTCTTGTTTCTGAAAACCAGACTAACTAAAAAGAAAAAGAAGTGGACATGGGCGAGCAGTTTGTTTGTAGCATCAAAACTGTGGACTTTAACAAGGTTTGGCTTCATCGTGTTTTAGTGCACAGCATATGAGCATCTATTTAAAATATTATCAGTGAGCGCCACCCGAGACCTCCACCTCTCTCTCTCACACACACACACACACACACACAGACAGAGAGAGAAAGGGCTGTTGGACACGAACTAAGAGAAGGGATCTAGTTATTCATCGCACATTCCTCCACTCGCTGTCTCTCCCTCTCTGTTCCCATGAGTCACTGCTAAAAGTGGGTGTGGTGCAACCAAATAGGTGGAGAGCGACTACACCTCCCCAGCACACACGGCTGGCTTTACCCACCTCTGAGCACCCTGCATCCAGGGCTCGGGTCGTGCATGTCATGCAAATAAAGTGCAGCGTAGTCATGGCAACGGGAGAGCGTGCACCACCCACAGTGCAGGGCTGGTTTTAGGGGTGCGTCACGTGTTGGGACGGGACGTACCCGCGTTGACACTATACATACCCAAGTCGCCATCTGCAAGGCGCCGCCGAGCTCCTTGTTCACCAGCTGGGTCTCGTTGTCCACAAAGTCGATGGCGGTTCCGATCCGGACGACTTTGGTCTGTCGGTTTTTCTTCCACCAAGTGGCCATGAGCATAATGAGAAGCACCCAGCTGATGCTGAGGCCCAGGTATCCCGTCAGATACACCGGGTACAAGACGAAGATGGCTCTGCCGAAGTACGCCAGGAACTCCATCAGGACGCGGTTGACGGTGGAGGAGTCCAGCTTCTCCGCGCTGCCGTGGATCGACGCGGTCTCCCCGAGCACGGCTCCCACCCGCGGGTGCGTCTGTCCTTCGGCGGACGCCATCGGGTGTCTCCCTCCTCCCCCCTCTCTGCGGTCCCGGACGCTCGTCGGCTGAGCCGGTGGATGTATTTGGGTACTTTGGGCACACTTCTCCCGGGAGGCCAATCCACACACAGTCCACGGAGGCAGTGATTAAGCGAGTAGTGACGGTCCAAAAACTTCCGGGTTTCAAACCCAAAAAAAAGCAGGTAGACACACCTGTACCAATGGGTGGGGACTGCGCGCAACAACAACACAAAAAGATTCCACCCAAAAAACAAAAGGCAAATTTCTATTCTAATAATTATATATATATACACAAATTATTATTATTAGTATTAACATTAGTATTTCTACTTCTTAAGCTTAATTTTATTAGTAGAATGTACCGATTGTATATATTTCGTCTGCAGTGTTTTAATTTGATTTTGTTACCCTAAATGTTTTTGTGACTGCGCCATTTTTTCATTAAAAAAAATCAAATCGCTTAGTAGCATGGCCAGTAGAGCAGCATTGGTGTTGCATTTCTCTCCCTTAATGTCTTGTAATCACAAGGTTGTGAGTGAGGTGAAATGCACCCGCACTGACGCACGCGCACCAGCAGAGGGAACCAGCGACTGAAAGAAGCGGTGTGTCAACAGGTCTGATTTCCCAAACCTCGATGGGATACAAGTAACTTCTGAGTACTAATGCGCTCACGTATTTGTTGACAAAAAATGTTCTGAGAAGGCAAAACCTAAATGCAGAGACTCCAAAAGAGATTACAATTTTGTTTAAGGTTATAAGCATGCACAATAAAACATTGCATTATTTCTTTTTTAATATTACATTGTTTTGAATAATTAAGACAGTTTGGATCTTCTAATCTATTGATGTGTTTACTACATGGAGAGCTACATATGTATTGGAAAGTGAAAAATCGAAAAAGTGAAAAGGACAAGTAAATACATTTGAGAGGAAAACTGAATGAAACAATGACTGTAAAACCAAAACATGGTATCATGTGTGAGGCTGTAAAGGAAAAAACTGAAAGTAAATAAAGTTGTGTTAAATACACATAGAGCAAATAACACATTAGTGTGCTTGAAATAACTTTTATTTGTGCATTCTGGGTTTACAAGAACAGCAGTTAACTCACTTTCTCCTTCAAAACCAAAAGTGATTGGCAACCTGATCTTAACATTATTGAAGGACGAGCTTTTAACACTACATAATTTCCTGGCGCAGCACAGGTTTTTGCAATCTTCCCCGGGCCAAACAGTGTGCAGTGCTCAGTGACATAATAAGAGCATAACATTTAAGAAAAAATATATTTGGAAATTCTCATGTTCTTGAATTGCATAACCATTCCGTAGCAAAAGAGATTATTTGCAAGCAATAAATGTATTGATGTAATTAATTAATAGTACTAATCAATAAAGCTAGCTTGTAAACCGAGGAAAGGACTATGATTATATCATTAAACTAATTGGAATTGTAACCCAAATATCTGGAGAAAAACACATATCAGCCTGTGATTATTTAGCATTGGAAGGCCGTGGCAGGCTGAATGCCTTTGTTCCTTTAAGTGCACGGCTGTGTCACTTAAAACTGATCAAATATTCCGGATACGCCTGGCTGTCGTGGAAGATGACAAACATGCTGGGATTGGCCATTCTGTCCACGACGCTGTCGTACTTCTGAGTGGAGATGGCGCTCTTGGCCGGCGGTACGATCATGCCTTGCTTCCCATCGATGAAGTCCCCCGTCAACACTCGACAGAGGTACATGCACTTCTCACCGTTCTGGTTGGGTGGGGAGTAGGTGTTGCTGGCCGAGTAGTTAGCGCCAACTGCAAAGTAGGTGCCATTGCCGTAACAAGTAGCTGAAAAACACAGAAAGATATTAAGTGAATATGCACTGACTTTACTCTCGTCTTCTGCTGTTAAAGTAGACATTCAACCACCTAGAACCACCCCGTCTACATATGTATTGGAATGATAGACAGGAGGGGTACACGGTGCTCCATTACTCATGGACGTTAAAAGGAACGCTATGGGTCATTGTCTTCCCGTTTCCCAACGAGGTCTCATCCCATGTTTCCGACCCAAAGCTCCTCACCGTTCTTTCCCGCGTAGCTCCGGTTGAAGCCGTACTCGTTGATGTGGCCCACCGTGTCGTGGCAGGTGCCGTGGAAGAGGCGCCTCTCGTTGTTGCCGTGGTTGTTTCTCAGCTCCATGTCGCGCTTCTTGATCTGTAAGCTCTTCCACAATACAGGGTTCTGGATCCTCTCAATCTAAGGAGGAGGGGGAACGTGCATTTTTTAGTGTTTTGTTGCGTTTTGAGTCCATAACTTTTTCTTGTCAATTGATTCTGAATAAAAGATTTTTGTGATTGGTCACCAGGTCAAGTCACCACATGTGAAGTCCGGCAGATAGAAAAACATGACTCATGAGACTGCGCCTTAGATGCAGGCTACCTTAATAACGGTTTGCCCGCATGTGGCCTGGAACAAGTTGAGGACTTCGGTGTACTCTGCCGTCCCGGCGTTGATGAGCACGGCCTGACACGAGGAGTCAGGCGGCATCGTATCCCACTGTTCAGGTGTGTCTTCATCTAGCGGCGTAAACAATTTTCTTTTCTTTATTAAATTCATTCAACAATGCATTCATTTGAGTTGTGCAAAATTTGGCAAAAAACATAGCGAGATAACAATATTGTAAAACCAACCAGACTACTCAGAGTATACGGGTCAAATACCTTTGAGTTTGTCAATCCGCTTTATCTGCAGGGTTTGCCCCTGGTTGTTGGTGGCAGGTCCCTTTGGCATGGCGACAGTGTAGTCTTTACCCTGGACTGAAACCTTTACGCTTGTTTGCTTATTTTCCAAAGCTTCCTCGAGCTTGTAGTTGGTCGTTAAATCAAAACTCTGAAACTCAAGGCCCTGCGGCTGGTACTGCCATTCCACCACTACGCCCGTGCGCTCCGCTTTCTCCGTCATCTCCTCCTTTTCTCGGGTCGACTTCAGCATCTTGTGGATCTCTTGGCTGGCTTTAAGCACGTCCTTGCTGAGCCCGTCGATGGTCAACGAGGCCTTGCCGTTTTTGTTCTCGGTCTTTATGGTCACGTTCATGGTCTTCTGGATGTCAACAATACACTGGTTGTCTGCATTGGAGAAGCTGAAGATGGAGTTGTCCTCTATTTGGAGGCTGTACTGGTCTTGGGTCATCAGGACGTTGAGCTGCTTCTTGGCCTTGTCCACGCTCACCTGCGACTCGCCGCAGATGTGGAAGGAAACTGGTTCCGCTTTCAGACCCTCAATGACAAAGTCCTTATCTCTCGATGGCTTGTCCTCACTTGTTCCGATAATTAATGCTTAAAAGAACACATTTTGCACACATGCATTAAGATTGAACATTGACTTTTACCATGGATGAAAGAATGAGCACCAAAATGATTCTCCTCATTGCTCTTACATTTGATTTTTGAGAAGACGTTTCCAAAGAACCCGACTTTGTCTTTCGGGTCAGAGGCTTCTCTTTCTTGCATACTGTTGTAGAAGTCTTTCAGCATGTGAGGCTGGAAAATAACTATGCGAACTGTATTCAGGGGGCCGGAAGGGTTTTGGCTCAACACATCGATAACCGCGTCCAACATGGCGTCCGCAACTTGCTGCGCCTTTACGTTGCCTTGACCTAAAGTGGCACAAAATGAAATGCAGACTTTTGCTACAGGATGTGAGTGTGTCATTTCAGGGTTTTGTGCATGTATGCAAACATCTAAACCAAGATGGGTCCCGCTAACACATCTCACCTGTGCCAATGGCAGGAAAGGAGACAGAAGTGTACGAGTTGGACACGCACATTTGCAGGGCGTCTTTCACGACCGCTTTGATTTTTATTGGGTCAGTCTGTCCACTCAGGTGGAGGATCTTCTTACACTTGAGGTTGCCTGGCTGGGTTATTATGATGCCTGGGTTGGGCAGGGCACCTAAAAAGGTGTTGACAGTGGATTTGAAATTACTTTGAACCTTGACAACCATGTCACATGTGTTTTAAAGCAATACTTCTCTCTGGAAGTAGAGCATTTTCTTAATGATTGACACTCTATCATTATAGCACTGAGAAAGATCAATGTTTTACGGTGTCAAATCTTTAAATGTTTCTGAAAAGGTTTCCGTACCAAGGTTTGTGCATTCCACTTCAACAGCTGGACCCGCTGCTTCCAGAATGGCCTTGGACACTCCTAGTGGAGCGGAATATCAAAACAAAATCAACAAATTTAAACAGGAGGATTAGACTATGTGGGATTCACCTGTCAAACAAGTAGCTTTGTGTAGCAAATTTTGCGTTACTGAAACATCCCATTGCTGGCTTTCGTGTACCTGACTTAAGAGAGAATGCAGCATTGGACGAGTTGACGACGACATCAGAGGTCTCCTTGGTGATGTCTCCCGTGACCACCTGCACAGTCACACTTCCCATTTTGGTCTCATGCATCCCTGAGCTCGAGACAACTTTAGTGAAGGGACCTTGAGGCACTGAAAACAAATACAGAATTAACAGCACAATAATTAGTCAAGCTTGTTAGAATCAGAAGAATTTTTTTTCAAAAAGGTAACAATTACATTAACGACAAAATGAATGTGTAATACACCTCATAATAATGTTTCTTTAAAGGAATTATATTAATGACGACACTTTTTAAAATACTGTATCACAGGTACTCGCACATTCAAATGTCAAAACAATGTTGCCTACCTTGACTTTGCGGGGAACTTGTTGGCACAGAGGCGTTTTGGAACTTCTTTGTAAATGCATCTCTGAAATTCTGTGACCCAATCACAAAGATAACCATTATCACAATAAAACCAAAGAAATACTCTCTAAATCGACTTCCTTATTGTTTGTGCTGTGGTAGTAATTACTGAATATTATTATTTGTATTATTATGATTTTCATGAAATCCAATGATAACCAATAAATAATGTTTACTGTTCTGCTGTGGTAAAGTGGCTGCTCAATGGTTGCTTTTCTGCCCACGGGATTGTGGGACTTAGTAGTAGTGTTAAACCACACTTTCCCACCAGTAACCACGAGTGTCACCTCAAAAAAACAGGACTAAAATCTTCAGAACTACACACTACTTTCTTACCGTTCAATTTTTGTTTAACACACAGGGTGAAGAAAGCACTTAAACTTGTTTTCCCACCTTACCTGGATAGTCTGTGCATCTTGTGGGTAAAGGATGATCACAACCTTCTTCAAGTGCTTGGGTTGCTTGTTACTGCTAAACGCCAAGATTTCATCCAGCATCAGTGATGCTGCAATATCTTTAGGGAAACCCAGGTTCCCGGTGCCGATGGCGGGCAAGGCGATTGAGGTCAGGCCACCGTCCTCTGCCATGCCCAGGCAATCCTTGTAAATACCCCTCAAGAGCTGTAAAGAAAAATATACAGCCCATCAGTATCGAGGTACAAGACCATAAATGTTTCCGGTGCTGTGGCATCTAATAGCCACTGCAACTACAGTACGACTTCAAACAGGGGACGCTAACGGACAGTGGAGCGTATTATCAACAACATTATGCTTTACATGACATGGGGAAATTTAAGAGGAAAAGACTTATGTTCCTCAATTCAGGGACCCTTCATCAAACTCTGATCTGACATCTAACCAAGGATTTACACTTTAAACCAAGGTATCACTCTTCACCTTTTCAGCAGCCCCTTGTCCTTTGTCCCAAGCAGGTGCAACTGCATGAAAGACTTTCTTGCTCTTCAGCTTGCAGGCGTCAGTAGCAATAATGTCGCCGACACTTTTACTCCCTTGAGTTGCATTGGCGTGTATCAACTGCTGGAGTTTTAATCCAGCCTCACTGAAGATGGCTTGGGAAATTGCGCCTCTGTTCAATACGAGATCGTCAGCCACGGTGTTGACGATCACGTCCGTCTAAAAGTTTGTAAAGAGTGGCATCAGTTGCATATTTTCTTTGTCATTTTTTTAGAGATTAGATTCTCTAGAGCTAGAGGGTAGGATTACTTCTAGGTTACATTTACATACCCTCGCAGTGTGCTATTTTATTTATTTTTTCAATTTATTTTTTACCTTTGCCTTCTCGATATTTCCTGTAGTGAGAGTAATGGCCAAGCCCTCTTTGGTCTGCACTTGACCCAAGCGGTTTGGGTCAGGTGCAGCAAGCGTCACAAGGGGAAACTTGTGGGTCCTAGTGGGGAGAGTTTGTGGAGAAAGACGGACACCTTGACCAAACTCCTTTCTGACAGCTGCCTCGATGGCCTGAACAGTATTGTCGTCGTTGTTCACCAAATGGATCTTTTTCAGGGTGTTGTCACCGAACTTGTCGTCACAGTGTTCCTTCACCGCTTTGACGATGGTGTGCGCACACAAGCTGAGGGGAAAGCCTTGGTTACTGCTGATGGCAGGCAGAGCCACGGAGAGGCAGCCGTGCTTTTCAGCGAGCTCCAAGCTTCCTTTAACAGCTCTTTTCAACTGTGCCACAGGCTTCTTGGGCTGAGCTGGATCAAACTGGGGCCCCACGGCATGGATGACCTTTTTGCAGCAAAGCTGCCCACCCGCACCAGTTATCACACTGTCTCCGGCCTTCAGGTTTCCGCTTGAATTAATAAGTTTGTCACATTCAGCCTGAAACTGGGGGCCGGCAGCATTTAGAAGTGCCGCCGCAAGACCTCCACTATGGTGCAAGGTTGGATTAGAAGCATTGACAACTGCTTGCACTGGGTAGCTGCACATATCTGCCTTGCAAACGGCTATTTCCACTCCATCGGCTGTCTGAATCTGATACACTGGCGCTGTTCCTGGTCCTTGGACCAAAAGCACCTGTCCACCACTCAGGTCCTCTACCTGCTGCACCATACAGCCGGTTTCATTCTTGATTGTGGAAACAAACACAGCGCCTTTATCTCTGAATAACTTGTTTGCTCCAGGCATGGTGATTTTCAAACTGTCAAAGTAAACAGAAGAAATGCAGTCATCGACCAACGCCTTGCACTCCGCAACATCAACCCTGGAACCCCTTAGACAAATGGCGTCTTTTTTGTAGGACACCAGCACTTTGTTGCTGACTGAATCCAACCAAGACGTGTCAAGCTTTTTAATGTAATCTACTATGGTGCTGGCCCTGACCACAACGGTTTCTTCAACTTCAGCATTCTGCGTTAGGAAGTCACCAAGCTGACCGCAAACTGCTTCGACACTGTCCTTGTGACCGGCCACCACAACTTGTGGCCCAGTGGTGTGGATTCGAATTCTCCTGTACGACCCACGGTTGCAATTCTCCAAGTGACGGACCAGGTCCTGCCACTCTGGCTTTGCCAATACATTGCGGTCTTCAACCTCAATGTTCTGAGATCTTAGCAGCCTCTTCAAGTGGACTTCGGCATCATTGAGATCTCTGTCGGAAGAAGCAATGAGCTGCACCCTCTGAGCATTGATCTCAAATGCTGCATTTATTCCATTGGATGTGAGTAGAGCATTTGTCAGCTCCTCTTGTTCTTCATCCTTCAGCATGTCAAGTACGTACTTGTCCAAATCTAAATTCTGACGTTTTAGCTCCATCATTGCATTACAGACAGCTGTGCTTGCCTCAATAATCTCTTCCCTCAAGCCAGTCACTTTCAAAAGCGCACCGTCTTTCCTAAAAGATATTTTGAGGTCTGGGTACACCTGTAGGAGCTTTTCCTGAAGACCGTCTTGAATTAGGAGGTGTTGGATTGATGGCAACACTTTGACCTCTTGGGTCTCGCTAAATTTCTCCCTCTGCACCCTTTTGTCAATGTTGTTTATGACTTCATAAAGAATGGGCTTAAGTCTATCAACATCAGCCGCAAGACCGGCGACTGATACAACACCGGTGGATTTTTCCGACTCAAAAACCACATCCTCGCTCAGGAGAGTCTCTCTGATCTTCTCCTCAGACTCCCCCCATGCCTCGGGCTCTGGCTTAAGCGTCAGGGATTTGAATTTTGACAGAGCTCGCGCAAAGGCCGACTTTACAGTATCTCTCCACTTTTTGCTGATGACTTCGACATCTTTGTGCTGTAGTAGTGAAGGTAAGGCTCTCAAGCAGACAGTGGGTTGCTCAAGGTTTACGCTGCAGAAGTCTTTTGCCATTTGACTGTAAATGGTGTCTGCAGCCGATTGGTGGTAATTTAGGTATCTCCAGACGACGGGGTCAATGGACTCCGAGACAGCATCAGGAAGTTTTAGAGAGGGCCTATCTTTTCCGTAGAGAGCTGTTCCCAGAGACTTATAAAAAGGATGAACTTTGATCTCTTCACCCTTGACGCTATGCTTCTTCTTCATGACTTCATGAACAGCTGTGGAAATAAAAACAAATCAAAAGTAAAGCCAGGTCTAGATTTCATGTAAAAATATTTGTGTAAAATAATTAATGAGTACTACCTTTAACGTCTTCAAAGGTGATGATGGCAGACTGTTCCGCGGCATTCAGCGCAATATCTTCCACTGCTGCTCCTTCATTCTCGAAATAAAGCCGGAGGTAATCTTCATCAGTATGTTGTATGTTGTCAACTACAACTTGATTAGTGACTTCAAGAGGCCGGACCGATAGTCCCTTATTTGTGAAAATCCTGTTCTTGGGGCATCTCATCACAAAATCTGTGTTTTCTGTAAAATAGTGATAGAATATGAGTTATTTAGGCAATATGACAAACAATAAACAGCTTTACATTTGTGTCTTTGCTGAAAAACACGCACACACGCGCACACACACGTACCTTTTTCACACTTGAAAGTCACCACAGCAGAGGAGATGTCACGGATGAGCTCCAGAGTGAAGCTTTGGGGGTCAGATAGAGGGTCTGCATCTTTTTTTAAAACGTTCACCACCAACATGTTCAAAAACTCCTCGTTTGTGGTCTCTGGAATATTGCCTAAAACAGCAGAAGTGGAGCACAGCTCTTCGCCCGTTTGATTCTCGCCTGCAGGTGCGTGCGCATTGGTGCTCGGTTGCTTGTTGATTACAGCAACATCCGCTGTTAGTGAGACACAATGGTTTAATGGCTTAACACGTGTTTATCAATGAAGTGAGATCACTGAACACTAAATAACAGGCAAACATGAAGGACATCGGATTATTCCAAGTGTTTCCCCGGATTTGATGGCCCGCCAAACAGATTTCTGACACCAATTTGTTTTTGCATTGTTATCTTTTTGTATTTAAAGCAATGTTTAGATTAGTACGACTTTCATTTTATGGCCCTCTTGTGACAGATTCCTGTAGCGGACTGTAAGAAGGAGTGGACCCAGCTGCCGTGTTGGCTTGTTGCCACCAGAAGCGACATCAGGCGGTGGAGCAAAGGGCAACTGAATGGGACGTTTGTAGTTATTTACAAATAACTTTGATGAGGTGGAAAAGCACTATGAGGGTTTAAGCTGTAAGATGAACACTGACAACAGGGGACACCAGGAGAATGTTCCACACGTGTGGGAAATGATTCTAGTGGCCATGTTTTGGTCTCTCAAATAACTTTCTATGACGCTTATCGGAACATTGTGATCCCACAATAATGCAGAAACCTGCTGTGTACCTTGTGCAAGCCTTTGGATCACTATTGTGCTATTTGAACCACACTCTCATCATCTGCATGAACTAGTTTGTAAACAGCTTTTTGTTCCACATTTTCCTATTTGCATCTCTTCTTAAAAGTCTTCCGTGCCGCCAAACGGTTTCATCATTTGCTATGTTTGAAAAAAAAGGGTTTGGATTGCACTTTTTATCGTCACTATATGTTCAGGTTTAATAATTAAAAGACAATTGTAAAAACACATCCATACATATACATACATATTGATTTTATGAATCAAAACAGAAACAGATTATTCGTGGGAGGACTTGTTTGCTCCCATAAATTCATGCATATACTGTGCTACAGATCATAATTAGGACAACGTTTTCACTTAGTGATGTTTACAGATCCCTTGACCTTAGTTTAAACCGCCCAAGAAGATGTTAACGCCAAATTTGAAGAAATTCCCATGAAGTGTTCCTCATTTATTTTGTCTACGAGAATAGGTAAGAGACAACCGCATATCACGAAGCCTTAATGGAGAAGCATGCAATTCACCGTTAGCGAGTCCAGTCGCACACAAGCTTGTTTTGACGAGTACTTACATTTCTTCTCGAGTTCATCAGCCAGAGTTTCCTACAGATAGTGGTAAAATATATATATATGAATATATACTGTGACAGTGTTCTGCGACAAGGTGCGTGACAACTCACTTTTGTCCCCATGTTGGTCGGTGTCTTGGGTACTTACCGTACTCTAGCTCTACTAGTACTTACCATACTCTAAGTATGCTAAAGGCTAAAGGGGGACAGCAGGCAGTGAGGCCTAGTGTTTATACAGGAGATGATGTCAGCAGTGACATCATCGGGTTAGACCAAGTATACATGGGGAAAGTCTGTCGTAATGGGGGGTCACCAGTACACATGGTGCGACCTAGAGCGGGTTAATTGAGACGCTACAAAAAGGTAGTGGACATTGTCTGTTGGGGGGGAAGAGAGAGACGGGTGGAACATCTGAGTAGCGGATTGCACGTGATTGATTAGGTTGTGTTGAGTTTAACTTTTGTTAAAAGTAAAAAAAATTAGGTTTATTTGTTTTGTTTGTATATTTGTTTAATGATACGTGTACCAGGGACCTTGCTTTTTACAAATAAAACCCCTTACGATATCTGGGCCGAGTGTTGCTCGTCTGCCTCCTACCAATTCCAGAAGTCACTCTGTTTTGGAATCCACACAACTTCAATCACCTCTTTTAATAGAACCCTTTGGCATCCCATACAACCGGTTTCACCTTGCTTCACGCCCCAAATGTCGACCGCTCATAGAAAGGAATCCAATCAGACAGTATGTGTTTTATTCTTTCTGTGAAGCCGGAAGTATCTTACACAAACAACAAGGCGTCCCATGTGTTCAGTACTGGAACTGCTTTTAACCCAAATGGTATGCAAACAGTAGACCGAGAGAAAGAGAAACCACAGGATGCCGGGCGGGTTTCTGATTATTCATGTGACTCGGCGAGTTGGAGCTGTAGGCCTGCAGCTGCCTTTTTATTACCTACAGCTTACGTCACACTGATAGGAACAACCATCCCATTAGAGACGGCGAGACCCACTTAAGAAATATATTTGAATAGCTTTCTATTGCCTGCCGCGCACAAGGTTACTTTTTTTTCGATATGATTTTAGTGATTTATTTGCTTGTCGACCCCTCCCCCACTTTAACCAACAAGACAGGACAGGACCTGGTGTAAAAGGTAAACATCTTTTGCATCCACTCACCTGCTTCTTTGACCCTTCCGTCAGTCGATGAACTGTCACGTTCAGCACGCCCTTTTCCAATTGTATCTCGTGCGTCTCTTTCCCCAAAACATTTCGCTGGTCTTTAATGTCGAGGGGGGCAAATCACAAAGGACCCACTTTGAGTAACAGCCGTGGCCAGATGACATTGAGTTGCTGGTGCGGTAAGTGCCGTCGGGGACTCACCCTCCTCGCGCAGGAAGCGCAGCAGCGCCGTCCTCGCGCCGCGCTCGTGCTCCACCTCGCACTCGCCGCCGTGAGACTTCTTGCTCTGGAAGTACTTCACCAACTTGTTCTTCAGTCTCGGGGTGTCGTTTTCTCCGAGCTCGACGCGCAGAGCGTACGCGAAACCGTCCGCCATCGTCGCCGCTCACCGGGAAAACAACCCTGCGTTTCTCCCTCCCTCCCTCTGTCTCCCCTCCCCACGGCTTTTAATAGCCGGTACTTTCGCTTTTGTTTCTCAGGAAATGAAGCTGGCAACTTTTTTTTTCTTTTTTCTTTTTTCCTCCAGACACCGATCGCGCAGCGAGCGGAGAGAGGAGTCCGTCCTCCCGCTGCCGTGTGAGCCGCACGGGTCTCTGTCCGCTCCACTCGGGACTTTCCGCTCGGGCGAGGGGTGAGTAGCGGGGGAGGCGAAGGCTTTACTGGCGCAAGTCAGCCGGACTTCGTCGCGGTCGGTAGTTTCGTAGGTCTGGTTGCTCACGCCGACAAGATGTTTCTCTGCATTTGCAAACGAAAGTAAACAAAAATGGCGGCGCTGTAAGCTATTTCGACAAGTCACAGCGAAAGTAATATCAGCTGAAGGCGCTGAAAGTTTGCTTCTGCTACGAACTCCTTTAAAAAAAAAAACAGCGACTCAAGCGTCACAGCTGCAGGCGAAATTAATGCATTTAATTTCCCTCTGTGCGCCCCCCAAATGTAACATTTGACGTTGTTTAGTACACGTGACGTATTGCTGTATGTAGTCTGTACTTAATGCGCGGCTGTGTTTGATAAGAAACCCGTCAGCTCGTGTCCTTTTGAGACAGGTGACTTGTTGTTTTTGGGAGATGTTCTTGCACATTGTTTGCTGGTCTCTGTCGCCTTCTCCTGGACTAAAAAGGAAATAGCACTTACCTTTACTGCCAACAGCGTTAGTTGTGTATTCCATTTTAAGAGGATTATGAGTCTGTATAATATGAGAAATAGTGAAAACGTTTTTATGAATGGAGTTATGTGATTTGATAGACCGATGGAGTGTTAAGATTTTGAGGGATCAAAGGGACATGATGTTCTTCCTGTTCGGTTAATGATTTCCTTTTTGTGGCTCATCTGCAGTTTAATCACACTAAATGATTCACTCGTCTGCCATAAGTCACAGGCATATTACTTGTTCATACAATATCCATTTTATTGCTCTGTTCAGGAACCATGGCCGACACATTCGATTTTCCTCTTCATGGGACTTCACTCAACATTGTGAGACGATATGGCCCTCATCTGAGTGAAATCCTTCAGAGCAAGTTTGGATGCGTGGCCACCATCGACGGTGTGGATTTCAAAAACGATCCACACCGGATGCAAAATGACAAAGAGAAAAGGTTTGTCGCTGCTCTGCCCGGAGGCGTCCAGGTTTCCGTGTGGAAGGCTGATCTCGCCAAGTTCCAGGCGGATGCTGTCGTGAATGCCGCTAATGAACAGCTCCAGCATTATGGCGGCCTGGCTCTAGCTCTGTCCATGGCCGGTGGTCTGACTATCCAGAGCGAGAGTTCTGATTACATATCTAAGCACGGTGCCGTGACAACAGGAGAAGCAATTGTCCTGAATGCCGGGGCCCTACCATGCAAGAAGATCATTCATGCAGTGGGCCCATTTATGTCGAGTAATGCCCCTGACTCTGAGCTTGTGAAGGCCAGACATCGCTTAGAGCAGGTCGTTCGTAGCATTCTCGAACGAGTTAAGGAGAACCGCCTGCAGTCTGTTGCCATTCCTGCCATCAGCTCTGGTCTGTTCAACTATCCCCTGGCAGATTGTGCAAACACCATCGTGACAAGTGTTCTACGCTACTATGAACACACTCGCTCTCCAGCACATCTCCCCAAAGAGATCTTCTTTGTGAACATCGACCAACGCACGGTGGATGCAATGGAGCGGGCCTGCCGTCGAATATTAGGCAATAGCCCGAGCGGAGGCAAAGCATCCGCAACCTCAGCACCTGTTGTCCAGCTTGGAGATGTGCTAGTGATGCTGAAGAGGGGTCACATTCAGGAACAGCAGGTACTAATCTGTCATCTTAAATAATTCATATGCAAATTCGTGCTTGTATAAAAAGAAAAATTGTATGTATTTTTCATAGTTTCATAAATGTCTACCAACGACCGTTGACTGCCTTTATTTATATGAACGTGCACATAGTGGAATTCACGTGAAAAGAACAACATTAACTGCATGCGGTCACTGTTTATTCATCTTCTCTAATATTCATGAAAAGGAATGAAAGTACTCACTCACTGCATATGTATTTTCATGCAGCATCTATGTTTCCTCTCAGACAGATGTCATTGTAAACAGCACATCAAGAAACCGAGACTTGAACGTTGGTCTAATCTCCTCCGCTTTGTTGATGAAAGCCGGCTCTAGACTGCAGGACGAACTTTGGTCTGCTCCATATAGTGAATTCGTCATCCCAACAAAAGGCTACAAGCTGCAATGTAAGCAGGTGTTTCATGTTATCTGCCCTGGAAAGGAGAACTACTCCGCAAAGCAGGTACGGTATAAGTTTAACTGTTATTGGGTGTTTTAGGCAAAGTGTTGATAAATTCATAGTTAGACAAGTCCTTCATTGATCAACTTATTGCGAGTAGATGTGATATTTCAGCCTTTCAAAAACATATTCGATCAAAGCGTTTATTTGGTTCGATTGGTCGTTTTGATACAAAAGTGTTGGCTGTCTGTACCGTAATAAGATTGTTGTCTCATCTTCACAGATTCTATACAAATTAGTTTTGCAATGCTTGCGGATGGCAGCCGCACAGAAGTACAAGTCCATCTCTTTTCCCGCCATCGGCACCGGTAATCTCGGGTTCGATAGAAGGGACTCTGCCTGCATCATGCACAGCGCAGTGGCAGAATTCTCCCAGAGTTTTAAAGGAAAGATGGAAGTTTATTTCGTCATATTTCCTTCGGATGACGATATATTCAAGGTTGGTGTTCAAAATACTTTATTACAATAAAATTGCTGTGTTATCCATGTGTGTGGATATCAAACTAAATGCTAAACAACCCAACAGGGACAGAAGAAATACAAATGGTGAGAATGAGAGCGAGACTGAAATGTGTGCACTAACGAGTGACTTCGAATGGCCCACTTTGTGTGAAGTCGCTATAACTCTTAAGCTGTTGGGTGGAATGTGTGCTGAGAGATGCTGGCTGGATGAGTCCGCTCACCAATGTCCCAGTATTTTGATACACATTTACATTAATGGCATCCTCTTTTCAGGCTTTCGAGGAGCTAATGCCACCTCCCAAACAGAAGGCATCTTATCCCGGCTCTACACGAGGTAACAACAGTAATTCAAGTAGTAGTCAAGTGACATCCACATCTGCACAAAGTAAAGCAGGACATCTCACATAAAAAAGCGACACATACCCGCGTAGAAGAATGCATGACCTTGCTTGCCGTTGTGAAATGATTACGCGATGCTGCGTTCCAGCAGCGGACTCGTCTCCACCAGCGGCCGAGCGCGGGGATGGTTTCCGTGGCGACAACGAGCGTAGCCCACGCATCAGCCTGTACAGCCCTCGGTATGAAGCGAGGTCCGAGGCCCGGCGGTGGCTCTCGGGCCTTCTCTGCACATCCTCTGGCCCCGTCGTCATCCGCAATAACTTCATCCAGCACTTCGGCGAGTCGAAGCATCAGCAGCTGTCCAGGCTCACCGGCGTCACCGTCAACGAGTTCATCGAGAAAGGTCGCGCGCACCTGAATGTGAGCGGGCAGTCGGTCGAGGACGTCGCGGTTGCTGTGTTGGAGGTGGAGGCCATGCTCTGCGACGTCCAGAGGGAGTTTGTGATGGAGGAGAAGAGCTTCATGCACGACGTCACGACTGAGAGGCTGTTCTCTAACAGGAAGCTGGTCGACAAAGCAAGTCCAGAGTTCAAGAAGAGATCTGCTTCCTACAGAGACCACAACCTGCTCTTAGTCAAGGTAGAGTTTGCGTCAATGCAACATTGTAGCAGAAGAATTGTCTTCTGGATCAATTGTCACTTGTCTGAATGTCTCTACTTTCACATACTGGTGGTTCATTATCTGTAAGAGTCTGGTTTTGAACCAGTGCTTTGGAGTTTTTTTTTTATTAATTGTATTCATTTTTAGATGGAAAGGGTGGAGAACCCAACACTGGAGACTCTCTTTGACCTCAAGAGAGCGCAGCTTCACTGCACAACTCCTCCCCAACAAATGTTCCAACGCATACCTGCACACTTCTGTGAGATGGTCAGCCAGGTTGGATTCCATGCCGAGTTTGCGCCCCCCAAGGGTACGTGGACGCTGCTACAAGCACCATTTGAGAACGTGCAAACAAATGATTGTAAATCTATCAACATGTCGTGATTCTATTCTGTTAACCTGAGGTGAAATTGTTTTGTAACTATGGGTCATCGCTAAGTTCCTAAAATGAGAGGCACAGAGCGAGACGGTAAGCAGCTGCCTGTCTTGTGTGTGTTTCTGCGTACAGAGCCAGCTTACGGGGCGGGCATCTACTTTGCTCGCACCGCGAAGAAGGCCTTGGAAGTGTGGAAGTGGCCGAAGGAGGAAAATGAGGAGTACGTGTACTTCGTGGAGGCCGAGGTGCTGACAGGAAACTCCACCCGTGGGGAAGAAGGTCTCATTCTCCCGCCTGCTGTGGGGGCGGATCCGAACGTTCGCTTCGACAGTGTGAGCGGACCCGACGTCGCCGTCATATTTAGTGGTTACCAAGCTCGACCCAAGTACATTATCACCTGTAGTGTGTGATTTCTTTGGCTTCTGTTGTAGGGAACACATGTATTATTGGGGACACAGAGATTGTTCTACATACAAAGGGTATAATTGACTCATGTATTAGAAAACAAAGTGAGCTTACTCTTGGAATCATAATGGCAGTTCAGACAATAAGTAAAAAAGCTTATATTCAGTTAATGAAAGTAATTGCTTTGAGTTCCCTATTTTTTCATTCCAGTTTCTTTTTAAATGTATACATTGGTAGCACAATCATTTCTATACCATGTATTGTACTTTAAAAATCACCTTGTCGCAACAATATTGTTTTATAGTTTTAACACTGAGTGCTGTGAGGCACCACGTGATATATGCAATTATCATTAGAGGAACATATTTGTGATTGTACGGTTTATATAACTTCCTAACGCAATGGATATGTGCTGATCTCATTTGGATGTCCTTGAGGGTAGCAGGTTAAGCGTTTCTGATGCTGGAATAAAATAATAAGATTAATTGTATCTTTTTTGGGGGGGAAACAACATTTTCTAAGTTACGACACCATGGCTTCTAATGCTTTTGACGTGTTTACTCAATTCATGAAGCAGTACAACAACCAGGTCAGCTACATGGATTTAATCAAATGAAATCCATAATACAAACGTGTAGGAATGAACTGTTAAACAAAATAATATACATGTATTAACATACAGCTTTTAAACAGGAAATAGGGGGGACATGAAGGTAAATCCAACATATACTTCATGACATGTTCAAAACTTCCATTGAAGCTCATTTTTGACCAGCTAGGAAATAACTTGAGATCCATTTAGTAGCTTTTCACTGACTTCTGACTGTAAACGTTTCATTTCAGAAAGTAAACAAGCATTTGAAACACAGAAAACAATGCTCAATCGGTCACACTGATTTTATAAAAATGGACATAAAACCTGGACATAAAAAATTAAATAAACAGCACAACAGCATCCCACACATCTCTTGATGGCGATAGAGTATGTTTGGTTATTTCAGCTGTGGGTATTATTCATCACTGCATTAACGCCTGGTAGGCTGCTAAAAGCCGATTACGTAACACTACATTATAAACCAGCTGAACCAGTCACACAAAGAACATTTAACACGTCAAACTAGGACTAAACGAAGATCAATCATGAGCTACATTCAAGGAGTCATTTTGTTTCCTGGTATTCACTCTTACTACGGCACAATATTGGAACAGACAAGAAAGCGAGCCAGCTGAGAGTGTTTATCGGTTATCTGTAGCAGTGTGGTTATCTGCTACCGCCTGCGCACCGTGAGATAGAAACGTATGGCACATCTGGCCTCTGATGCTTATAATATTACTGAAACTATTATAATCCATTTAGAAAAAAAATCACAGTTTGCAACCTTCCCCCTGAAAAAAAAGGTTTTCAGAGTGAAGAAACATTTTTTTAAACGCTAAATCCCTGCTTATGGGGAGACAATGTCCTGCCTTCAAATTGATCTACAGAACCTCCAACCCCCTCCAGGACCATCGCCATGGAAACATACAAGCTCACATTTCTGTGCAGTTAGTTCCCTTTGACTTTACTTAAAATACCTCTACCCTCTCCTACTACCCTACTCTCCTCTATCCTACCCTACTACCCTACCCTACTCTCCTATCCTACCCTACTACCCTATTCTCCTCTATCCTACCCTATTCTCCTCCTCCCTACTCTCATCTACCCTACTACCCTACTTTCCTCTACCCTACTACTCTACTCTCCTCTACCCTACTACCCTACTCTCCTCTACCCTCTACCCTACCCTATTCTCCTCCTCCCTACTCTCATCTACCCTACTACCCTACTTTCCTCTACCCTACTACCCTACTCTCCTCTACCCTACTACCCTACTCTCCTCTAGCCCACCCCATCCTACTACCCTACTACCCTACTCTCTACCCTCCATGGGCCGACCAAGGCCCTGCTCTCACGCAGACATGAACGCACATGCACGTGGTTATTCTGTGCACTCGGCTATCTCTGTGCCGTCCACGAGCAGCGTGTGAATGATGCCGTCTCGCCTCTTCCCGCTGCTCACGGCCTTCACGCAGCAGTTGTGCTGTCCCAGGGTGAAATGCGTTTCGGTCCCGTCATCCACGAACTCCCCCTGCGGGCGGGAATCGGACATAGGAGTGTAGTGAGAGTCATGATGTCGTCTGCAGAATGTGCAGAGAGGCTGTGGGTCTCTGACTTTTGGAGACGTGCATACACAACAGTTTGATCTACAATTTGAGATTGAGCGATGTCGGTGTCCGTTGGCATCATACTTACCGCAGTCTCTATGTTTTGTCCGTTACACCAAATATCCATTGTGTCCTTCTCTGAAAGAAAGCAAACACACGCAGAATCAGTGACAAGTCTGTGCTACGGCACAGCTATGCCGTTTGAGTTCATCTGATCACCTTGTGGTGTCGCAGAACAACGAGCGAGTGAGCAACGCCCGGTTTCTATCTGCTTCTGTGAGTCCCCCGCAGGCTTCCACTGACAGATGACAGATACAGTGCCTACAAAAAGTCCCCCCCCTGGATGTTTCCCTTTTGTTGTTTTTATAAATGGATTCATGGTCAATAGAATGTCTTTTTTGACAAGAATTTGCATTTTTGCATGCTTTTTTCATATCAAAGTGAAAATAGATTTTTAAAAACTAATTCAAAGTCAATTAATTCAAATGATGTAGTGTAAAATGAGTGTTTGCATAGATATTTACCCCTTTAAAGTTACTGACTTAATTCAACAGAGAATCAGCAAATACAAGTGTTTGTGGTTTGCTTTTTTATATTTTGAATTTAACTTGATGTAAACTCTTATAAGGTCATTATTTGTTTACTTGTTTATTTCTCCTTGTGCAGCTGGAACACCTGTATTAACCCTTTTAAAATCCCTCCACGGAGGACAAATGTTCTCAAAAGAGGGAATTTCATGACTCATCATCACATTTACCACTACAAAATGTGTGGCAGTTGCAATTATAGAGCTACATAACCACAAAAAAACTCAACAACAACAAATAACAGCTCTGCAGCCTCTCAAGTTTAGGTGTGGCTGAGAAGTTAATCATTTCTCTGCGCAACTACCTCTTGACTCTCGATACTGGTTAGTCGGTGTTACAGACCAGGCATGCTGTGATCTAAACTACCTATCCGGTGTCTCTTTACCGTGAAGCCACAGAGGCTCCTCTGATACCGCTGCTACAGAACATATCCACGTATTTCTGCCACTTCACATTGTCGTTGTTTTTATTGTGCTGCTTTATAGCTATTCGTTGCGCACCAATGTACAGTAGTTCTTGTGTGTGGCACATGCTTCAGGTGGTCATGTCACCTGATCATGATAAGAAGGATTAACATGCCCAGATGACAGAGGTGGCTGAGGATGGCGTGGAGCTTAGAGCCTTTGAGAGCTTAACCTCTGCCCCCCCTCTCCTCGGCATGATATTATTGGATAGATAGCTACACTATAGCAAACAGCGATCCAATATCCAACCCGATTGATTGTGTGAACAAACAAATGAAAGCAGACACTAATAGATGATGAGGGATGTAGGTGACTTGGTACACAAAGACAGCGAAGCTCACCCAGGACGACCCTGGAGTCGATGCCGTCCAAGTTGAGAACCCAGGTGCTGGTGACCTTGGATCTGTTCTCCATGTACTTCTTCAAGCTCTTCCCGTCGATCTCCAACGTGTACTCGTACGCAAAACCACTGACCGCGTCGATGTTGATGGTGGCTTTGGTCTCCGATTTGCCCACATTGAACGTCTCTTTCCCCACAAGTTTGAACATCCAGTCCCGTCTCACTATCTCCTGTGGTGTAAAAAAAGCTCATTTCATTCATTTAATTTAAAAGAAAGGGGGGGGGGGGGGGGGGGGGGCCTATTTTCCGGAACCGAAACGTTACCTTGCCATCGACGTAGATCACCTCTTCCCGATGGTCGTGCCGTGCTCGAACTCAATCCGATGGACTCCATCACTCAGCGCCACCTCCCACACACCGGCGAGATCATTCGACATGCTGCGGTCTGCAGAGGCTTCTGAATGCATGAGGAAGATACATGAATGACACTTTTCACCGTCAACCTCACCTAACTAGCTAACACACTGGGCTTACGTTAGTTAGATAACACGGACGTAACGTTAGAACCTATGAACAAAACAGTCATTTTCCCTGCGTGATTAAATGCATCTGAACCCGCGACGCCTCCTTCCTTCGTTGCAGCGTTTAGAGCGCGTGCCGTGGTGAAATAAACAACATTACCATTCCCTTTTTGTTGCTATAGAAACATGGCTTAAAACAAAGTGAGAAGTTGTCAGCTTTGCTACGTTACTGCATCCGGTGGCAGGGTTTTTCCTTTCAGAATTAAAGCTGGCCCAAATATGGTGTCGAGTTAAAACCAAATTGAGTTAACTGGCTCCCGTGTTTGGTTGTTTCCATTGCACCCACTGATATTTTTCTTTTTGCTATTAAACAAAATTAGGTTAACTTGTATTACTAACGGTTTAAATGTGTTTTATTCTGAAACAAAACGGAAGTATTACTTTCAATCTAACGTTAATCTTTTCACAAGGTCTGAAACGAACGCTAACGTTAGCTCCTTTGCTATAAGAGGATGACCTTAGCATTAGCTCGAGAATATCATTCTTCATTATACATCTGAATTACCTTAATGCTCCCGGTGTGAGCGCCGTAGCTCAGTGGTTAACAAATGGTCAGCAGGCCACTTTAGCGTCGTTCATTTTCAGCTAGCTAGCTACCGCAGATTGGGCAACAGGCGAGCTTCGACTATGCCGTTACTATGGCAACATGATGTCCTTATGGTACAGACTTGACCCCGCCTACTCATTAAAAAAATTATAATAATATAATTGTAAACGTTTTAAAATCTCCTTATGGAATTCAGTGGAGTGTTGTGTCTTTGTTTGTAACACGCAGAGGCAAACAGTTCTGAAATATGAAACATGCTACAAACCTTCTAACAGGGACATTCCGAGGCAACCGGGTGAACCTGCCAAATCAGTAAAGAAGGGACTTTTATTTGACACTTGTCCTCTTGGGTACAAAAATGAGGCCCGGGTGGATTCCTGTTCCAGCACTGTTCTGGCAGGTCGTTTCAATCACTCTAGTTGAATAGACATCTGCTCGCGTAGAAACAGTGACGGGAGTTATGGAGCACAATGCGTGATAGTGACTCACAGCACAACGTGGAGTTCAGAGATTCAGTGACTGAGAGATTTGGTGGAAAAAGGCTCCATCGTCTGGCTGAGGCGTCTGCCTGCTTCCCCTGTTGTAAAAATGTAGACAGGAGCTGACGTTAAGTGATCTACCAACTCTGCTATCCAACCACTGCATTACATCAGTTATTTGTTTTTTAAAACAAACCTGAGTTGGTGTAGTCAGAAGATCTAATTGCAATTTTTAGTCATTTCTAGAAATATTAAACATTAGATAAAGACACGTGCATCATGAATAGTAGAAGTACAAACTGTCATGGAAATACAAATTTACAAAAAGCATTGCTTAATACTGTGGCTTACTCGTCTTCCTCTATTTCTTTTTTGATCAGATATGAAGGAAACCTGAGGCCATTCTCCACGTCATTCCTTACACTTTTCTTTGTGCAGAGCAAATACTTCTCTTAGGAAGAGGAATACTATATAATTCCAACAATAATGCTTCAAACTACTTCTTTGTGTTTGCTAGTATAGCTTTTCATGTGTGTGTGTTTGTTTTTGTTTTATATAGCATATGACTACAAACTGGATTTTGCTGCATTGCACAAAGACCATACTTTTACAGAAGCTGTTTTTGTAATCTTTTCATTTGTCATGCCTTCTTCTAGTTTGCGACATCAGTAAATGCATTTTTTTTTTGTTGGAGAAAACTAATTTCTATAGTCACTATGGTAATCAGCATTGGACACAAGGTGGAGAGTGTGAGAAAGCAGGTACAGGGTTCTAACCAAAGAAACTTTTCATTTTTCAAAATCAAAAGTTTCAGTTTTTGAGGTTTTGTTGAAAAATCTTACCAAAAACGCACATTTATTTTTTCACAGCACAGGTCCTGCTCCTCAGGTCATGCAATACTTATAGAGGACAATTCCTCAAAGAATGACACAATTTAACTTGACTAAGAAAAGACCACACTTGATATAGGTTGAGGATTTTTTTAGATTTTTTCCAAGTATAAGTATGTTTTTCATCTGCTTTCACCAGTACTCTTTTTTTTTTTTAGCACTACACCATTTATTTTATAACTACGTAACTACGTACTCGAAACGAATGGGCATTTAGCTAACCTACATGGTATTATCTTCTTTTTTATTATCCAAATTTCAGACCCACGTTTCATATATTTCTGAATACCATAAACAATTAGAAGGAAGACTGTGTTTTTCAGAAAACAGCTAAAAATATTGGACAATAACATAATAGTTCATATGATTACACATCTCCCAGGTCATTTGTTTTGCAATTTGTTATCTTCCTGATCTTTACATCAGTCACAGGGCCAACCACATGTTGGCACATGTACCACCTGCACATGCACAGACATTCATGTGACTGAGGTACAAATGGGGATGATTCATTTCTTATGTATGCAAAAAAAGAGGTACTGGACAATATTTCCTGTAAAAGCAGTTTGCCAGTCAGTGCCTCTTTTGCCGATGTCGCCATGTATTTTTGTTTGACATATTAAGATATCTGATTTTGAAGAAAACGCTATTTTTGGGTAAAGGACAAAAACGGTTCACAGTATCCAATTTAAAAGCTGGTAAAACGAGGCTCTCCGGTTTATGTCCAAGTTAAAGGACTCAAAAGGACGTTCTTTTCCTAAATGTGTTCATAAACAATTCTCAATCCATGCAGTTTTCAAAGTTAAAATGTATGCTTCTCATTAACTACTTAGAAGGGCAAATAACTGCATCTGCTTTGGACAACAGATTTATACTTGTTGGTTGTTACAGGGTCGGGGACTAGTGGAGACTTGTCGGTTTCCCCCTCTTTAAACGGTTAGCTCTGTCAGCGCTGATGCCGTTGTTTTCACTGTTTGCGCTGTTAGCTTCCAGCAGCTGCTGCGGTTGCGTGTCTATAGTTGTTGAGAGGCATTCGAAATACTCCCAATCTTATATTTAACACCTTTATCTTGAGAACCATGCGCATCCATGTTCCACCTATGGCGCTCATTTTTAGGCTAATTAACATTCGGGGATGGCGTTTAACATTTCAGGGAAAAATATGACAACTTCTTTGAGAGAAACTCTGTTTATTGAGTAAAGACAGCTTAGTTTATCCATGACTGTCAGAAGGGGGAAGCAGCCAGCCTGACTCGGCTCTATTGGTTCTATTACAAACGTGTAATAACGTGTCGTGACCAGCAGAGACGTGGGCAGGTGGAATCTGTTCGTCCCTTTTTTTTTTTACATGATGGAGGTGTTTCTAGATCTGATGCTCCCTACACTGCTGGCTGAGCCCTTCCTGCTGATGAGCCTGTGTCTGTAAAGAGCCGAGAGCAGGTGTTTGCGAAACTTTTCGCCGATGAAGGCGTACAGCACCGGATTCACTGCGCAGTGCATGAAGGCCAACACTTGGGTCACTGCCAGCATCACTTCCACCATGTAGCGGGTTTCACACGTCTCCATCGCAATTGTTTTTTTGCGAGTCAGCGTGTCAATCAGTACGGCGATGTTATAAGGCAACCAGCACACGACGAAGGCAAACACCACCGCCAGGATGACGCGGATGGCCTTGTGCTTTTGGGAATTACGCGTGTGAATCAGCGCTACCACAATCCAGCCGTAGCAGACTGTCATCACCACCAGGGGCACAAAAAAGCCAATTGAATGACGCATAACGAGCATGATAACGCGCCAGCGGTCGCTGCTTTCGTTGGTAATGTTTTCATAGCAAATGGTCCGGCCCAGGTCTTCATCATGCATGCTCTCCTTCAGAATGGCCACTGGTAAGGACAGCACTGCGGCCACCAGCCACACCACGCCGCACGTCACTTTAACCAACAGGCGGTGGAAGGGCCGCAGGCGTGTAGCCCTCACGATGACGAAGTGGCGGTCCACGCTGATGCATGCCAGCAGGAAGACCCCGCCGTACACCGACGCCTCCTGGAAGCCGGACAGGAGCTTGCACAGGAAGTTGCCGAAGATCCAACCGGACTGAGCATTGATGGCCCAGAACGGGAGGGTGACGCAGAAGAGAAGGTCCGCCATCGCCAGGTGCATCAGGTAGATATCGGTGGTACCTCGACCTTTCTCCATGGAGTAAATCACATAGACGACCACGCCGTTGCCCAGAATGCTGAGGACGAACACGCCGATGTAGGTGACCATCAGGCCCAAGCTATTAAATCCAGGCACCTCCAAACTGCAAGGGGCCGACAGGTCCTCGTCATACATGAATGTAGAATTGCCATCGGTGTTGAAAGCATCCGGGTTGAATTCCTCTGTTTTCATTGGCTAAATAAAAACAAAGTCATACAGCTTACATGCAGCAGGTGAAGAAGCACCAGTGGACAGCCACAGCGGCAATGGAGAATAGAATAAAACTGTTAAAACTGCACAGACCTCAAAAGCTAAAATCGCAGTTACTACCAATAAAGTTACCCTCCTAACCAACCATTATTACTATTATAATAATTACTAGGGGTGGGACTCTCTTGGCACCTCACAATTCGATTCGATTCCGATTCAGAGGTCACCGATTCGATTCTAAACCGATTATCGATTCTAAACCAATAAAACGATTATCGATGCATCACGATTTTCTAAATTTTCTCAAATCTGAGTTTGCTACTCAGAGGTTGCTAATCACTTCCTACTTTATTTGACAATTAAAGAAAATCAACAGATGAATTACCTTCTCTAATTTTTCATAAGAGAAAAAAAAATCTTTGTCACAAATATGATTTTCTATCAACAATGCAAGAACCAAGCTTGCATTTCAACACAATATGGAAGTAGCCTATGTAAAAAAAATCTTAAACAGATTCATTTTTCTTTTAAATGAAGAAAAAGCTGCTCTTAGTCTCAGACCGCTCCGTATTTGTAAAAAACCGGAAAAAAGTCCGTGAATCTGTGAATATCTTGCCAACTTTCAATACGGATCGACTTTTTGGAAAATGGAAATAATGAGGTAAGATATGCGCAGGCTCCTCCATAGTTCGGAAAAGTTGGCAAGATATTCAGATTCAGACTGACGGACCGGTCTGCGAGCTGGACGCATTGCTCTTAATGTGCCGGTAATGATGGTAAATGATGGTTATGGCTGGTTGTCATCTACGGTCCACTACGATTACCGAAGGGGGGCGTTTGTTTTTTGACAACGTTTTATCTCATAATTTCGACTTTTTATCCCCTCACATTAGTGCGGAAATGGGCTTCTGTAGTTGTGTGAATGCATCACTCCAGCCAATCCAAAGACGGGGTTTGTAACCAATCAGGTGTAGAGACCATGGTGACTGGCTCCGCCCCCTTACTGTTAAAATGAAAAACAGCGAGCGCGTAGAAAACATCTTCGAGCGCGAGCAGAGTTCACGCTCCGCGAGCGAGTAAATATCTCGCGCGAGACGAACTTTAAAAAAAAAAAATTATTCCGATTATTAACTTTTCTGAATCGAGACCAAATCGTTATAGAGAGAATCGAGAGAAATCGAAAAATTATTTTTTTTTCCCCACCCCTAATAATTATTGTCATTATTTTTAATAGTCAAAGCCAAAGATGAGCTAACAAGCTACAGGCAGGCTCCCTACCATGATTGGCCAGACATTAGATGGTATTATCTTGTCTAAATCTCAGGCAGAAACAGAAATGGCGCTGTGCACTGTGCACATGTGTCAGATGCTCAATGAATTTAAAACCCTTTTTCACATTATAATTAGATTAGTATAATAATTTTAGACAACACAATTACACATCTATCATATTTGTGTATGTTTACTTTACAATTATACTTGAAGGGAAAGAAACCTGTTGAAATATCTCTGCTCGGCTGTATGTGTCTTTCGTCATTTGCTCACGATTATCGCAAATTTCAATAACTGTTTGGAACTAGCGTGATATTTCAACACACTAACTACTACTTGAGAACAACACAAATTGAGAAAGAACCCTTGTTTACCTGCTTTTCCTGGTTTTCCTGATTGGTTAAAACCACACACCGCAAAACAGTAAGGATCAAAAGTTGTAGCTTCATTCTCGCGGTTTTGTTGCACACGAGTTAACAAGAATAAAGCTGTTGGACGAGGAGTGATATCCACTCTGCAGATGTTGTAGAAGTCCCTGCTTCTGTGTGTGCTGCTGGTGGTATCGTTGAAGATTACGTAGGAAAATTACGCTTTAAGGGAAGTAGGTGAACCATAGATGTTATCTGTCCAACGTTTCTTGTGAAACATTTATGCATGATATTACAGTTAGTGGGGCCAGGATGTTTATGAGTTACAGAAGAAAGCAAAGACTGCAAACAATATAATTTCACGGTAATACGTCCTCAAAAAGTCTGGATTTTAACATTCAACAACATTGGATACAATAGGCATATTTTATTTGAATTATTTATTATAATTAATTAGATTCAATTCCTTGTAGTCAATGAAGATCTAAGATATTCACAGTGATAATAATAATTATAATATAATACATAGGTTCTTTATATGCTCCATAGTCAACGGTACTTTACCTGGGGAAAAAACAAAGAGTAAAATCAATACCATTAAAAAAACATCGACATTGACATCATACATCTAGAATTGAACTTTTACTGCATGTATGCAATATTGCTCAAAACCAACTCTTGTAACACGCACAATAGTTTAAAGGATATCTCTGCAAGTAGCCTGCAGAAATTCGAAATGTTTTGAAGCCATCTAAGACCTCAACCAGACCTTCCAGAGCGCCTCTGAATTAAAAAGAATTTAACTCAGAGGCACGATAGATATTCATATTGCATTGGCTCGGGCTTGCCTAATCTATGGAGATGGTATGTTTCTATTCGTATATATTCTAACCGTATTATTATGATTTGTTTTAATCCTGCTGTTTTTGACATAACATGTCCAGTGGAGGGCAGCAGCAGCTCTGATATGTGTTCACTGTACACATCTGGGACATACTGGAATACAACAAAACAAAAATAAAATAGTAGTTTTAAATGTTCTGATGGTAAAGTTTGTTAATCTTTAGAATAGATATACAGAGTTACTCGGAAAACAACCAACTACTTCTTAGTCAATATTGCAATCAGTTAATGATTCTGATTTTGTTCGTGAAAACGAAAAAAATCTAGTTGTGATCATTCGAGTCTCGTATATCGATGAAATTCTGACTGCGTGTCTCAGAGGAGTCTGCGTTCGGCCGGCCCCCCGTAGAAATAAGATTCCTGAGAAGGCTCCAGCTGGAGAGCAGGAATGTCGGCAGGGTCGGCAAGTTCCTCCCTCCACAGATGTTAAACTGAGTTTGGCTGACGTCCCCACCACCGCGCTCACTCACTGGTGAGTCCTGGTGACCCGTCAGCCCTCCAGCAGCACTCGGTGCTGACTAAAAGGAAACGCTTCCTAATATAGCCCGGCCGCGTCTATCAAAAGTGTTTTTCAGTCTGTGGGACCACGGGACGGGCTCTCATCAGCCCGTTGTAGCCTGGAGGAGCAGGCAGGGGTCAAATGTCATTCTTTTTGTCACACGGCCATTTTATGTGCTCTAATTAACCAACACAAAAAGGCTTTTGAAAGTTGGAAAATGCGATAGCCAAGAAATTTAAACAGAGTCGTGAGTCACGATTTAGGAGGACGTCGACAGAATGACTAAATGGTGACACAGTATTTCTGCGGGTCTACAGTAAGAACGGAATCTGCGAGTCCTGAACACCTCCTTCCTTCTTCTCAGTTCCTGTGTCCAGGCCTTCCTCGTCACAATAACTCTATTCAGTCCGGAAGACTTTTCTTTTGCGTGGTTGGGGCTTTAGTTTAATTCTCGTACATCCTGCCATTTCTCCACTTCCTGCTTAAAACAGATGCCCACAACAACTCAAAATGTCCACGAGGAGCCTGAGAGCCAAAGACTTTCTGTGAAGACTTGGTTGTCCCATATCATCTGTTATGATAACCTATTTATCTGTACGTCTTTCACTTGTCTCAACTGATTGAAGTCCCAGTTGAGAGTCAACAGAGCCCACGTTACCGTGATAATCAGCTGACATTCCAATTCAATAGCAGATAAAGCAGTTGTTTCAAAATGGTGGTCGGGACCCAAATGTAATGAATATGTCAAGTTTGAAGCTGGAGAAATAAGTGCAGGATAATAAAGATGTTGCTATTTTTCTTTGCAAGTTTGATCAGACGTGATAGTGCTGCGTCACAACAATATATACATTTTCATATTGTGACTCATTCTCATTTTGTCCATGCGGCTGCTTCCGATTCCAAAGTTGAGCAGGAACATGTTTGAGAAGAAAAGGGGCAGCTCTTACAAAATCCAATATTTTATCCATTCCTGTCATTTTAGCACTGCAATACAGTTACATTCCAAAACAAAATCCAGCAGCTTAGTTGTGAGCTGTCAGTTGGAAACGGGACCACCCGGCGCAGCCGCCGGCTCTGTTTGCTCGTTTTTATGTGGTCAGTGATCGGGGATTAGATTGTGAACACACCACTGAGACGTCCTGTATTGCAAAGGGTGTTGAGTTGCATGAGAAAACAATAGCCGGTTTACACACTCAGTAAAGCTCCCTATTTGAGTGACACGTTGAGCCTGGGCCACAATTGTGATGTTTGGGAATTCAGTATTGCGACTAAACCGCATGTCTTTTGTCATTAGTTACGCATTTTCATATCTGTTATTTAAGTGCAGCAAAAGGGTGAGCAAAAGTCCTAAAAAATATATTTTATAGTAGTGACATCTTGTTAGACAGCACATTTTTCAGGACACTTCCATGCAGGGACAAATCCATTTTTTGGATCCTTTAAAAACTCTGACCCTGCACTTTCACGTCCCTGCTGTAGGAAAGAGTAAGTCCCATCCCTCTCTCTCCTCTTTTTATTGAATATTAAGCTGTGATAGAGTGCCTTTGCAGTGCGGTGGAAGTGGGTTTTGTTTTTCACGATACCTTCTGTACCAAGGACAGTCAACTACAGTCAAATACTTTTTTGGGAATTAAATTACTTAACTTAGTTTTTAATATATGTTAGGATGGTTCTGCTCCAGAATTGATTTCGCCAAAAAAAAAGAATTCACTAATGAGGGTCAGCTGATACTTGAGATGAACAAAGAAGAACAAAGGTTAATTCTCCGCTTTTAAGGCTAAGTTCAACTTTTGACGACATATGTTGCCATATTTTGACTCACTGCAGTAAAAGGCAAACTCACAGTGAGTCAGCATTTGGCTTTCAGTTAACTGTGCTTATTCCGTTGGAAATGCCCGTGTCTTTCCAGATTAGTGTTTTTTTTTAATCTAACCTCAACAATATCTATTTTGTGTAGACAGAGTAGGACAGGGGGTTGTTTCCAATTGTCCCATTTTCACCAGTCTGGGCAAGCTGTTTAACATTCTTGTTCTGTGACTGTTGAGAGAACGGCTGGTTCACAATACTTTTTTGTTCCTTCTTCTGTCCGATGTGTGGTACACTCAAAGCGTGTATTCGGGATCTAGTTTCTTAGGATGACATCAGATCGTCTTATTTTAGAACCAAAAACTTTTTCCCTCCTCATAAGGAACCAGAGGCTTTGGGTTGAACTTCTAGGTTCATATCACACTCACAGCAACCAAAACCACAGTATATATTTTCCAAAACCAAATCTTATACAAGGTCAACCACTGTTCCATTTGGGATATTTTAAAGCATTCAAGTCAGTCTTACAATAACAGGACGCTCCTCGAAAATGAGCAGAAGATCGAGAGGAGCCATGGAGTTGTTATGCCAACCCACACACTGGTGGTCCGTGTGTTTAAATGGCTGACAAAACGTTTCAGCTAACTGGGGTTCTCAGACAAAACAACCCTTTTGCCAAGAATTATACTCAATATTTCTTGCCTGCGTTTCTCCTAAAAGCACACTTTCAAACTCCCCCCAGTTCAGGTCGCCCTACGTCTTTCAAATATAAATAAAGAGTTGTCACTGGTCACATGGGACTTGCTTCATGCTTCAGCAGTTGTTTGAAGGTATACCAGAAGTGTCAGGTGACAGAAAGACAGCAGTCCCTCCCACGGGCCTAAAGACAGACTATCATCAACAACAAGCAGGTTGGGAGGAGGGTCCGTGTTCAACAAAGCTTTTGTCTAAAACCTATTCTGGAGGACGAGGTTGGGTTTACAGATGCAAATTGGACCACAATCAAGGTATCGCACCTGCCTGAAGATTATCATGTGTGGAAGGCGCCGAAAACTGAGGGATCATCAACCCGAATGCTCATGAGAAATGTTCTGTGTGCCTGTGGACAAGTTATTATTCCAATGTACCATTGTGACTTTGACATTGACCCAAAGGTGTGCCAGTAGAACAAACAGCAAGTAAATCCCAGAAGGCATCAGTCCAATGTGCCAGAGGGCAAAGCAAAAGAAAAGGCCCAAAGACAACCTTCATAAAAAAACTAATATTGACCTTCCATAACAAGAATGAGCCAGGCATAATAAATGCGCAGGACTTACAGTGACACGCTATTCACACGGAAACAACGGTATAAGGGGAGGGACAAGGCACATCATCTACAACATGTACCATTCTATTGTAATAGACTCTCAGGGAATATTCAATATTTGGTGACCCAACGACAGCATTGTTACGCATGACTTTGTATAGAATACCGGTTTAACAAGAGGCTGAGGGAGAGACATGTGTCCTCAGCTTATTGTCACCTCTTCATTGTTACGGTTGTTGCAGCACACAACAGCGGCATCTTTGTCCAGCCACAATAGCTTTGCTTGCAAATTGAGTACTATGCTGCAAAACAATAAGCTTAACCCTGCCTTTGCCTCTCTGACACATGCTCACATATGCTCGTGCACGTGAACACACGAGCCGCTCACCTCGGACACAAACGGCCCTCTTGTTTTCCCGACAGCCTCTGGCTTTTCTTGATTTCCTGTCTCCAGTCTTTAGCAGCGTTATGGGGTCAGTTAAGTGCTTCAGGCAACCGCGCTCCACTATAGACGGCAATGCCTGAACGTAACCTAACCGTTAGCGTTGGTTAAATGTTCCAGTGGTCCCAGTTTAATAAAGATGGTTGGTTGTTTGCTGGGCGTCCAGCCTCCTTGTATTTTTGTAGTGCGAGGAGTCATCGCGCTAATCATTAATGTGTAGCTCTGATTTCAGGAGACGTTGCGGTTTTGTCCTCTTAA